AAAATTATAGTAATATCAAAATAGAAGAACTAGACTAAAAGAATACTGCTGTACTAGGAAATCGATAAGTAAAATCAAATAATGGGATTGCTACATTTGATGATATCTCGTTTATTGCAAAGCCAGGTTCAAAAAATGCCTTATTCAAAATATCTTCTACGAATATAGATTCTGAGTACATAAGGGAATTTTATTCTGTTCCTGACTATAAGCAAATTAATGAAATTATAATATCAATAGATTTTGAAGAATGCTAAATTGGAGATATTGAGAGCAATCTTGTGTAAATTTGAAGAAATCTTAACTTTATATATAGATGTAGCTAATGTTAAATTGGAACTTATGCATTTTTCAAAAGCTAGCAATAATGCGCTGATTGTCCGAAAAACTCTGAATGTCTGGGAGGAAGTTAAATTTAATTACAATCAGGTTTTTGGAGATCATCAAACCTCAGTTCTCAAATACATCAATGCATGAATATAGCTGCTTGTTTAGGCGGACTAATGATTGATAATAATCCAGATTAATATTGCTAAATTGGATATGGTGGTAATTTGTGCGATTAATGTGTCAAAGTAAATGGTATTTAATTCACCAGAAGTAACAAAAATGACTGCGAGATTTGTCCTGATTCTGGAATCAACATTATTTTTCTATAGGCTATTATCCTGATATTTATTTACTTGATTATTCTTGTAGTGATGAATATAAAAAGCAGAAAGACTAGTGAGATTTCTGTTATTATGAGAATTATGACTAACTTTCTATAACTATCATCAAGTACATATTTGCTCTAGTTAGAATGGCCTAAACCACTTGATTAATTTTTGGGAGCATTTACTTATGTTGGTTAATCTGTATATAACATCATATACTTTGACTGTGTCCTAGATAACTCTATCATAGACAACGATATCAATTCTTTTATATATTTTAAGACTATTATCATTGCCATTCTTCCTTTATTTATTATGATGATATTCTCATTTGGCTTCATTATTTTTATGAGATTTAAGAAAATTTCATTCATAAAATTCAAAGATTGGTTTACTATTATGGCTATTATAGTTATTTATTTCACTCACCCAACAATTACTAGAGCAGTAATGAATTTATACTATTGCATGGAGATTAATGAGGGTTAATTTTGGCTTGTTAGTGACCTAAAAATAAAATGTTGGGCTGGAGATCATTTGAAGCTAAGTCTTTTAATTGGAATCCCAATAGGATTATTCTGGATACTAATAATTCCAGTATTTGGATTTTGCTAACTACATAAAAAGAGGAAAATTCTCACTAGTAAATATTTCAAGAATAGTTATAATATGCTTTGTTCTGGACTTAAAGATGAATACTACTACTGGGAATTCATAAATATATTTAGAAAAATCTTTTTGGTAATGATTAATGTCTTTTTGTAAACTGAGATATCACTTTTTAAATGCATGGTTGGTCTCTTAGTTCTTGTAATAATTTATCGATTATAGATCAGATTTTAACCATATTAAAACCCTCTGATTAATGAACTTGAAAAAAGAGAGATGATGTGCCTTTTTGTAACTTTTTATGGTTCTTTATATTTTTTAAATCCAGAATTCTAGATTTGGACTCGTTATTCAACTTTTGCTATAATATTAGTATTCACTACTTATTTCTTGATCCTTTGGCTTTATCTAGTTCTAATTCAATTTAAGTAAAAAGCCTCGTTATAGTTTGCTAATAGATTAAGATTTCTAACATTCCTAAAAATAAAAGCCATAAACATTGATGAAAAACTATCAAAGGACTCGTCAAAGTCATTGAAAGAATTAATGATTCAGGAAATTGTGATGGATCCGAATTTTGGTATAATAACTATTATTTCTACTAATAATTACTAAGATGAATCTTCTTAATCACGAGGATATGGTTCTTAATATATAACTTTCAAGTCTAAAACCAATATGAAAAAGGGTAATAGAAAATCAGAGATTTAGAAAAATATGAATCTTGCATTTAAAACTTTTAAAAATAGTGATACAAGTAGTACAAAAAGACTATATGAAAAAGACTTGATAGATATTTTCTCTAAGACTAAAGATAAATCTAAAATCAGTAAGAAAATGCAATATGGTTAACATAGATAAGTTTAGCAATAGAAATCACTTTAAGATGTATATCGAAATTCAAATCATAACTTTGTAATTAAAACAGGTTCTACTTCAAATCATTAATTAATAGCTACTGAAAATTAAATTTTAAATGTTTCTCAGAAACTAAAGATGGAAAATATGTTTAAATCAAGAAGAAGTAATTAGCTAATTGAAACTAAGAATGGAAAAGTTGTTAACTGATAATTTGATTGAATTTCAACCAAATTTCGATTCGCTTTTGAAGATTAAATTGCTATACACTAGAAAATAGTCTTATAGATAAATGATTTTAGTAAAAACAATAGCTTGTTTAAGGATTGGGTAGAACCAACTTAGACAGGCT